CGCGTGCGGGCGCGCAGTGCTGCTGCAGCGCAGTGCGTGCGCGCGGCTCATGGTATCGCTGCCTTGCGGTGCCAGCGTGTGCGCGGTGCGTGCTGTCGTGCAGTGTGTGCTGCTGCCTGGCAGTGCGTGTCGCGCGCCATGGTGCCGCTGCCGTATGGTGTCGGGCGTGTGCGTGCAGCGCCCTGTCGGGCGGTATGTGCCGCGTGCTGCCAGCCTGCTATGCGGTGCTGCCGGGCGGTGCGTGCCGCTAGGCGGCCCGCTATGTGTGCTGCTGTCTATGGCTGTGCCGCCGTGCGTTGCCGGGTGGTGTGTTCATAACATTTGGGAGCATGCTAAGAAACTTTATTCTGGCCAAGATAACACTACCAAGGTATACCAACTTTATTAGGAGTGCTTTAATCTGAAGCTGGGAAATAAGAGCCTAGAGGAGTATTATGCTAGCATGAGAAAGCTTTGTAATGAGCTTAATGTGTATCACCCCTTGATTTTAGATGTTAAAATTCAGCAACGACAATGGGAAGAACATGATGTGACATGGTTTTTGGTGGGATTGAAATTTGAATATGAGAACCTACTAGGGCACAAATACTAGGTGGATCTGTTCTTCCCTCTCTTGAGGAGGTGTTTTCCTGACGTTGGAGAATTTCTATTGAACGTTCTGAGAACTCTACCATCTCTGACAGTTCTGCTTTGGTGGTGGCAAGAGGGGGAGGTCATGGGTATAGAGGTGGTGGAGGTGGACGTGGACTTCTAGGGAACCAAGGTGGTCCTATGTTTAACCATATTGGTGGACAAGGTGGAGGTCGTGGTAGAGGATGGAGTAATGGTCTTAGGATGTGCACGTATTGTGGGTTAGAGGGACAAACTATCAACTTTTGTTATGACTTGCATGGCCATCCAATACTTGGGCCAATCATGCTGTAACTAGTGGTGGTGGTGTTGTTAGTGAGAACCAATAGATTGATCAGACACCTTCCACATCTACAGGTGTTTCTAGGAAGGAAATGGTGAGTGTATCACATGATGAGTTTGAGAAATTTCTTTAGACTTCCTCTTAGCAGAACACAACTACCCTTGCTCACTTAGGTATTGCTTGTTTGGCATCCAAACCTTTACATTGGATTATTGATTTTGGAGCCTCTAATCATATGATTAGGGCTCTATGTATGCTTTCTTCTCTCTCCCAGTCTTCCACATCCCCAATAGTTACCTTAGCTAATGGTTCTAGCTCTCCTATTTGTGGTGTTGGTGATGTTGACCTCATATCTTTATCTTTATCATCTGTTTTAAATGTATCCAAATTTGCATTTAACCTCATGTCTGTTAGTAGATTGACTAAATCTCCTAATTGCTCTTCACCTTTTACCCCCCTTCTTGTGTGTTTTAGGATCTCAAGACAGGGATGAAGATTGGTGGACATGAAGCTAGTAGGTTGTATTATCTTGATGGTGGTGGTCCAAAAGTAGCACTTAAGTCTTCACTCACTCCTCTCTAGTGGCACTGCAGACTTGATCATCCGTCCCTCAAGGCATTAAAGTTACTTATTCTGTCATTGTGAGTCTTGCCAGTTTGGAAAACATCACAACGTTTCCTTTAGTCCTAGGGTTGATTGTTGTGTTTTGAATCCTTTTTCCTTAGTTCATTTAGATGTTTGGGGTCCAAATAAAATTGTGTCGTACACTGGTTACAAGTATTTTGTAATTTTTGTTGATGATTATTCAAGAATGACATGGCTTTCTCTTATGAAAGGCAGAAGTGAATTGTTTTCTATTTTCCAAAAATTTTATGCTGAAATTTGTACCCAATTTGGTCTTCATATTAAAATTGTCCGTTCGGAAAATGCAAAAGAATATTGGTCAACACAATGAGCAAAACGATGTAATTCATTAAACTTCTTGTACTTACACCCGGCAATAGAATGACGTTGCTGAACGAAAGAACTGATATTTACTTGAAACTACTCAGTCCATTATGCATAATATGAATGTTCCCAAGCGTTTTTGGAGTGATGTTGTACTTGCATCGTGTTTCCTCATCAATTGGATGCACATGTCCATCCTTGGATGTTAGTCACCATTCTCAGTCTTGTTTCCTACTTTATCTCCATTTTCCCTTACTCTTAGAGTTTTTGGTTGTGTATGTTTTGTTCATAATTTAGGTTATGGATTGGACAAGTTATATGCACGTGCTACAAAATGCATCTTTCTTGGCTATTCTAGAACCCAAAAAGGATATACATATTACAACCCTAGCTCCCATCGTTCATTTGTGTGTATAGATGTCACTTTCTTTAAATTTGTTCCCTTCTTTTCTACTTCTGATGTTTCTCCTTCTCCCGTGTTTCTTGTTCCCGTTCTAGTTAAGGACCTAATTCCTACAGTTCCTATTGTGTCTCAGCCTTCGTCTTCTCCAAGGCATTTTACTACTAAAAGGCCACTAATCACACAAGTGTATACTCATAGATGAGCACCGACTCCTCCTCCAGTTCACTCCTCGTCGATGGATCTAGTAGTTGTGCCCTATCCTTCTGATCTTGATCTTCCCATTGCATTGCAGAAAAGTAAACGTAGTTGTACTTCTCACCCTATTTCCAATTATGTTTCTGTTGCTCACCTTTCTACTTCCCATCAATAGTTTATATCTTTGTTATCCTTTGTCTCCATCCCTAAGGATGTCCAAGAAGCTATTACCTCTCCAGGGTGGCGCCAAGCTATGGAAGAGGAATTGTCTACACTAGCACACAATCACATATGGGAGCTTACCACTCTTCCTCCTGGTAAGCATGTTGTTGGATGCAAGTTGGTGTATACTGTGAAATATCTCCAAGATGGTAGTGTGGAAAGGTTGAATGCTCAGTTAGTGGCAAAAGGCTACTCTTAGTTTTATGGAGTTGACTACACAAAAACTTTTTCTTCCATGGCTAAGATTGGTTCAGTTCGAGTGTTATCTTTAGCATCATTGTATGATTGGCCCCTCTTTCAGCTTGACATTAAAAATGCCTTCTTACATGGTGACCTTTAGGAAGTATATATGGAAAACCACTAGGGTTTGTTGCTCAGGGGGAGGGTGGTAAGGTTTGCAAACTTAGGAAGGCAATCTACAGGCTGAACCTATCTCAACATGCGTGGTTTGGAAAGTTTAGTGATGTAGTAAAGGACTTTGGTATGAAAAAGTGCCAGGTAGATCATTATGTGTTCCACTATGAGTCGAAGGCTGGAAAGATCTTCTTAGTGGTGTATGTAGATGACATTGTCATAACTGGTAGTGATAGTAAAGGGATTGGCAGGTTGAAGACTTTTCTGCATGATCACTTCCAAAGAAAATGTTAGGAACCTGCCTAACTCAGGGCTCTTCGAGGGGCCAACCTCCTGAATTCTTGGGAAGGAGAGAGAGAGAGAGAGGGAGAGAGTTTAATGCTGAAAGAGGCCTCCTCTATTCCTTTTTCTGCTCTACTACTTATAGTGTTACAATCTTGACTGTTACAGCTGTTACAAGTGGCTGGTTAGTTGAGCTGATCTGGCCTCCTCTTGTAAAACTGACTAACTGCCTTCTGTTGGTCTGTTCCAACAGTCTTGACAATCCAATTGGATGGCAGTTGTTACAAGTGGATGG